GACTGTTGATTGGATTTAAGCAGAAATTGTAATAATAAACGATTTATTAAATGATCAAAATATATTTGAATAAAAGTAAAAAAGATTATCAAAAATAAAAAATTTCTTCAACACAAACTTTTCACTGTAAGGCAATTGAAGAATAGATGGCAGTAGTGTGCTAACTTCGTTTCGCATCAAACTATCTGAATAACAAAAAAATTGGTGATTGTCAATAGTTCCTCAAGAGTTTATCGGCTTCATTTCTTTGCAGTGATGATACTTGATATCAGAATCAATTTTAAATAAGTAATTAACGTAATGAGTAGAGAAATAAAATTGAAAGAATAAAACTCATTTTAATCTTTTTTTGTCGTCAAAATCAAATTTGATTGAAAATATTATTATATGTTCGATTTTGTTATAAAGTAAAGAATTCTTTTTAAGCAACCACTCATCTGTCGAACAAAAAGTATTTATGCTTTTTTTCTTTCATATTGAAGAATATTGAGTTTTTATTCATCTCATAGTTGTGCATGTGTTTTGCAAAAAACAATTAATGCGTAATAATGTCAAATTATATCGTAAGAATGTTTGACTTGTCAATCGTTTTCGCAACAGACATTTCTGTCTGTCAAGATCTGTAAAATTCAGCTTAGATTTGTCTATTGTTCGTCTTCTTTAAATGTAATGGAATAAATATCTACTGACATGTTCTTTTCATCACTGAGTATAAGAATTACCAAACCGAAAGCATTGCTGTTCAAACTAACTCCATTATTTTTTGTTTAAATTCCATAGAAAATTTCGTGACAGTCTTTTCTCGTATAACATTGGATATTATTTTACAATATTTATTTTCATTTTAGAAGCTTGATTCATACAAAAAATATGTCTTCTAAGACAGATATATGAAGTGTTCCGAAATTTCAGAAGCGGCTTTAAAACTCATCATTCTTGTTAGAGTTGTAACCAGTCGAGAATTTTCGAACTGATTCGGTCGGTCCAAAAAACTTTTTAGATTGGTGACAACCGGCAAAAAATGACTGGTTTGTTGGATTATTATTAATCGATTAATGTCAACGGTTTCAAGAAACATTCATTTTCCTTTTCGGACTCAGGTTGTTAAAAGAATCTGTGGGAAGAAATATCTGTTGTTTCTCATAGATGAATGTGATATTTCTATATATAGCGCGAAGAAAACGACTTATTTATCCAGTCACTGATTGCTAAACTCTATATCTTGAGTTTTCTCACTCAGCCTTTTCAGACAAACTTAGTGGTTCTCTACGAACAACTATCCAAACCTTCATTTGATTTTGATCAAAACATATATGATAAAAGGTTAGCTCAAGTAATACAGTTTTGATTGTGCTTTTTAAAAAAATAAAACTATGTGAACGTGCAGAAGAAAATAAAAATAAGTTTTCGAAACAATAGTGTTTGTTTATTTTGATAAGAGCATACAGATTTGCTCTCAATAAGTTTTATCAGAGAAAAATGGCATATCTATAAAAATTTTTAATTGACTCGACAGATTATTGTACTCAATCTATAGTAAATAACTAAGAAGTTTCGGATCAATAGCATTTCCTATATATGAGAAACAATAACAACAATATTACGTACCTTTTTGTCAATTTATGAATTACTGGCGTTGATATTTTTAAACAAAAAGAAATTTTTGAAGTAAAAAGAAACGCCTATAAATGTTTTTGTATTCGATTACCATCGTTATCTATTACTAATTTTAATCATGCTTGTATTTATCTATCGTTCTTCTACCAAAACAAAATACTAAATTTGTTCTATTCTATTTTGATATCTTTTTACAATTGTTGAATGTTGTTGTGCATATTCACCTTCATAAATTTTCTTTTAATATACTCTAGATGTATTCTGTAGTTGTACAACACAATTCTCAAGCTGTATTCGATTGATAAACATATGTTTGAGGAATTCAAAGTCATATGCATTCTTTGCTTAGAATTTTAGGTATTTTGAAAAATGATACTTCTTGAATCATCTAATGTTGTAGTCGTTTTTCACTCTATTGTTAACTTTTATAACTCTGCTCAACACACCTGGGAATGAAAACATTTCTTTTGGTATGTGTTTTTCTAAAGACATTCTGGAATAAATATTTGCTCTCAACATATTTGTATCATATTTTATCACCTAAAACAATTAAAACATTGATAAAGCAGTAAATTGTAATGTTTTCACAGTTTCCCGTCTAAAGTAAAAGCTATCGTTCTGAAACTTTAAAGTTCTTGAATATTAAGTGGAGAGAATAATCTGTCAAGTTGAAAAAGTTTTGCTCATGTTGAATACAAGAACAATGAATTTTTAAATCGTTTAAGAAGTTCTGAAACAATCTTTATATTATATAACTAAACAAAAAGAAATATTTTATCAAAGGTTTACATAAGATCATTTATAAGTAATAAAGGTCGATCGATTTGTGCTCGTTCAGCTGCAACAACAAGAATTGTTGCACCACAAACACCTGCTGGTAGCAAAAGAAGAAAAGCTCCTGGTATAAGAAAAATAATTTCCATGGCTAAACCAAAACCAAGTGTTGCCCACATATAATGTCTAAACCAAGGCGTACGTTCTCGTACACCAAATAAATGTAATGATAATGGATAATCAATAATATCATAAGCAAGAATAAAACCGGTTGCAAGAAATTTTAATGGAGTTGTTATTATAACAAATGGTGGAAAAAAGAATTCTGTTAATGTTAACAAAGTAAAGGTACATAATGAAATTAAAATTGAAACAATAGCTACACGAATGCTTCTCCATACACTAGAACAAAACCCTTCCTCAGGTCGATTAGGATATTTTAAATGATGTTCTTGAGCACGAACAAGACTTTCAAGTGCTGGAGCACTTAATGGTTGGGCTGTTATAAATGCAAGAATTAATGAAAGAAATATTGCAACTATATAAAGTACAATACGCAGTAACCATATGCCAAAATATACCCAGCGTGATGTATGTTGTTGAAATAAACGATTTGTGAATAAATACATTCCCCATATTCCAGGTATAGCAAAAGCAAAAAGAAGTATAGTAAATATCAATGCAGGTACAAATGCATGTGTCCATGTTGATGGATGTGTTAGAATAAAATAAAAACCTTGAAATGGTGCTAAAGCACCATTTAAAAATCCAGGTGGTAATGATTTTGTTCGATTTAAATCCGAAACTATTTGATTTATTAATGATTGATGATCATGAAAAACTCCATGAATTTTTGAAGAATGTCTTATAATATTTGATTTTGACGATGAAAGAATATAAATAGTTGAGATTTGTTTTAATTGTATAAGACGATCTATTGATATCGTTGAATCAGTAACAACAAGTGTTAAACCACGTAATTTTATTGGTAATGATGATATAAATTGATAACAAGCATCTTCACTTGTAAATAGAGCAATATACGAATGTAATTCATTTGGTAAAGGTTCGTCTTGATTACTTTGTAACCAAACAATATTTGTAGTTGTACTCATTGCCGATTAGAACAGAAAAAATACTGAATTATCAATATGATATTTAATATGTTTCACTTTGTTTTGCGTTTTTGTTTCTTCTGTCACCAATCAAAATAAAGAGCGACATTCTTTTCTTATTATACATTACAGAACCAAAAAAATATGAACTCGCTAGTTCATACTATATGTGACAAAACGATTCGCCACATGTTCAATATATTACTATGTGATAGAGGGTGTTAAATACCCTTGTTTTCTTACATTTCTCTAAGTGTGGCAAAGCAAACTGTTTTCATTTACTATCAAAAATGTATATTTTTTTTCTCGAGTTATTAAATGAAAAGAAATTATGTAGTACTATTTTCGACAAAGATTTATAAATAGAAATACAGAGTGTCAGAAAAGTCCCTTTCACGTAAATTTTCGTGTATATTTTTATTATTTAATTTGAATTTATCAGCTATTTTTTTAATGATAGGTGAATAAAGACTTTTATTATATATAAAAAAGCTTCAAAAGTACTGTTCAAAGAGTCACATGCATGTAACTGAAATACAAAAATTCAATCTTTTTTCTATTTTCATAAAACCATTACGATATTTAAATCGTTCAGATCTTTTACATTACTTTTAAAGACATTTGTTTTGACATGACTTCATAAAAATAAACTCGATGATGTCAAGGCTGGTGACTATGGAGCTTATGAGATTGGTTCATCTCCTCCTATTCAGTGGTCATTAAACCAGAAGCGAACAGTCTTCAAAACATGGACTGGTGTCCCATCCTATTGAAATATGATCTTTTTGGTAATCTTTTTTTACCAGAAAAATAGATGAATGAAGTTTTTTAACATGTCAAGGTGACTCTGTTGATCGACTGTTGAGTCTTCAGAAAAGCCGGTCCAATGATTAACTTGCTTGACATTCCATATTATGCACTAATTTTTGGCGAGTTCATTGCGACTTCTATTGTAGTGTAAGGATTATTTTGACTTCAGATATAACAGTTATGTTTATTAACCAAACGTGAAATATGAAATGTTGCTTCATCTAAGAAAAAGATCAGACCATGTCCTCCTTCTATATCTGTTATGTTAAGTGCATCTTATATGGTATATATTCTAAAACTTCACACATTCTCTGATGCACTGTCGATTTTGAAATATTAATTGCTTTAGACACAACGAATACTGTTGATTGGATTATTTGACAACACCTCAGCAATTTCTCCTACTTTTTTCGACTGTTCCTGACGACGACCTTCCTGATCGTTCACGATCATGTGCGGAACCAGTTTGAATAAAGAATATGTCTCCAGATGGCCATCTTTTTGCCCACGATTACTTTTACCTGTTTGAAAGATGTTATAGGCTTACTAGAAGTATTTCCTACGATTTAAGTTTACTTCTGGTTTAATGACTGGTGGACAGGAAGAGATGGACCGATCTCATGAGCTCCATAGTCACCAGCCTTGACACTATCGAATTTTTTTTGTGAGGTCATGTCAAAGCAAATGTCTTTAAAAGTAATGTAAAAGATATGAATGAATTAAATATCAGAATAAGTCAAGAAATCGAAGCAATTAAAAAAAGAAGCATTGCATAATATTCTCTTGGAAATAGAAAAAGAAGATTACATTTTTGTATTTCAGCTAAAGATAATATCCCTGAACAGTTCTTTTGAAGCTTGCTTGCATGCATAAAAAGTCGGTATATTTGCCTATCATTTAAAAAAAGTAGTTGATAAAGTCATATTCAATAGCAAAAGTAAAGGAAAAGTGTGCGAATATGGGTGAAGGTATGAGTATTTTCTTGTCCCCCAACACCTACATCTACAGCCAGACACATCAACATCTACTCATATCCTACAGGGGTGGGTGCGGGTGTGGGTGTGGGGTGTGGGTGTGGGTGTGGGGTGTGGGTGTGGGTGTGGGTGTGGGGTGTGGGTGTGGGTGTGGGTGTGGGTGTGGGTGTGGGGTGTGAGTGTGGGGTGTGGGTGTGGGTGTGGGTGTGGGTGTGGGTGTGGGTGGTGTAAGTGTGGATGCGTATGGATGNGTAAAAAAAGCATAAAATTTCCGAAAATTTCGTAAGTTCCACATTAACATATTTTGATAACTCTTACTATTTAGTACTAATAAATCCAGTTTTCGACGCTCTTTAATTTGGTATAAAATTCATTAGGTATTCAACTTGAAATAATGACGCTACCCCCCTAGCAAAAGGTTATGCACAACCCTGTAAATATACAATTCAAAGTTTTTGAGCGTAGTCATGCTTTTTTCACTCGAATTCCGACTCTGGACAATTTTTTCTCTCAAGTTAGTGATAGCTTATATGTCCTACAATGTCATGTAATTTAAGGTCACGTAAAGATTATAAAAATACATCTAATGAAGAAAGTGAAGATATTGAATGATGCTGATCTGCTTTTTCGTGATTGACAGTTTTCGTTTACTGGACGTTAAAATTGTCAAAAATAAATTCTATATAAACAGGGAATGAAATAGGACTTTTACAGCTTCTATAATTTACCTTAACTTCAACTCTGTTGGAGTTGGATTGGATGTCTTCAGATTAGATACGAGTTCGAAAAATTGAAACCGCGAAAGATTCTATTTTCTACTTATTCTGAAAATAGACTTCTATATAATCATCTGTGAATTATTTTTTTAAAACGATTCTTAGAAAAATGTCTAACAGTGAATAATATAATAATTTGCTAGGTGAACTGTACTCTGCTCAATCCGACGACCAATCTATATTCAATAATCCATCAGATCAATTTAAAAATCGAATTTTAACTGCTTTACGGTTTAATTTGATCATATTGAAACTTTTTCTTGAATGGTTTTTTTTCTCTTCTATTTAGAAAAGATTATATTGATGTTATTGAATATTTTATCAAAACTAACCAATTAACTGGTGATGGTCTTGATGAACAAAATCGAAATATTCTCTTTCATGCATTGCCTATAGGAAATACTTCCATGATTGAACATTTATTAAAATCAGTTGAGTAAATTTATTCATTTCTCATTATATAATATTGATGATTCATTTTAGAATTTACCCAATTTTGATATAAATTCCATTACTCAATCTGGAAATAGTCTTCTTCATTCATGTATTAGCCTTCAACGTATTGATCTTATAGAATTATTAATAAAATATTATCCAACTATAAATTTAAATCAACGAAATAAACAAGATGCAACGCCACTTCATCTTGCTATTATTTATGATGATCTTGAATTAGTTCGTTTCCTTATTCAGTCAGGTGCTGATGCAAAATTAACTATGAAAAGCAAAACATGTTTACAACTTTCTATTGAGTTCAATCATGAAAATTTGATTGAATTCTTTTCCAAACTTGTTTAATTCTAATTCATACTATTGTTAAAAGAAAACTTTCTTTTTTCTTTTTTATTATAATTCAATTAAAAGAAGACGATTAAAAAGGAAAAAAATATTATATAATAACATGACAACAAAAAAAAGAAAGGAATGCATTCACATTCAAAATTTTTTTCTCTTCAGTAAAATATCGCATTGTAATTTTAAGAATTTGATTCTTGAGAAATTTTGTCTTTTTTATTTCGGAAACAAGGAAAACAACTTGTACTTTCAGGTTTGATATAAATATTTTGTTGTTTTTCTTTTAATTTAATACCCGAAGCAAAAATATTAAGTGCTTGACGATGAGCACGAATTTGAATTTCGTTTCCATTTATCAATTCACCATCACAAGACCAATTGCCAAGTTGTTTTTGGCCTGTATTTATAGGACGTATAAGAACTTCTCGAACACGATATCGTTCAACATTAGGTAGATCTTCAATGGATCGACTGTCATTAGCAACTTGCCACAAAAAACGAAGAAAACCAGTACGCCAAGAACGTTTAACAAGGATTAAATCAAACGTTCCATCACCTAACAAAAAAAGTCAATTAATCAATGATAAAAAATAAAGCTTATTCACGATTTGCTTGCTGACTATGAGCATGCATAAAACTGACCACATACTAACTCATGTGTTATTAAGGACGACGTCGTTCTTTTGCAATCATTTTGCTGGCATATACTGGCAAAACGATTGAAAAAGAGACAAAGATAGATGAGAGAAAAGAGAATGCCCTTAGCAACAACACATGAGCTAGAATTTGGCCAGTTTTTATGCATATTCATGATCAACAAGCGAATCGTGAGTAAGGCTCATTATTTCTTTGACATTGATCTTACCGAGATGAACAAATGGTGACATTCCAAATTTACTTTTTGCACAAATACAAGGCATATTAAGACAATTTATAGTTGTATATCTTCCTTCACGTTTTATTTGTAAGGGTAACTGATCTTTATTAGGATCAAACTGTTTTTCTTCAGCACATCTTCCACAGTTTTGACGACAAAATGATAAATTTGGTTTTACTAATTTATTAATTGCATCGGATGATTTATTCATTGAATTTGTTTCAGTTAATGTTGAATTACTACTATTTATTAATTGTTGACAATCAGGTGTAACAATTGATGTTCTACTACTATTATTTAGTGATGTTATTGTTTGTGGATGACAAACATCTACTGATTCATGTGATGATAATGTTATTGTTAATTCACTATGATAAGATGTATGACGTAGAAATTGACAAAATCCAGCTAAATCATATCTTAATGGACCTAAACAACGCCAGTTATCCGATTGATGAATAATATCACCAAAAAATCCATATGCAAGCATTGTTGCCATAAAACGTACAAAACCATTCTCATTGTGAACCTTTTGCAAGAAAAAAGACAAAAAAAAAGAAATAAATCAAAAAGGAAGTTTTTTTTTCTTTCTTTACTGTAGTTATATCAATTAAAAGTGATTCACCAATAATAATCTGTAATGCACTTGTTATTGGATCATTTAAACCTGTTGTACCAAAAACAACAGCGTCAGTTGAACCGGCCGGTATAATACCAACTCTTAAATTAGGTCGAATTATATTCACTTGAGGATTATCAATATTTATTTGTTCATCACGAGCTGTTCGTAATAGAAGACCATGACATAATTCAGCAAACATACCATCACCACCAACACATACAAGACCATCATAATCGTCAAGTATTTCATTTATAACATATTCTTGTGCCTGATTAGCATGTTCTGTATATATTGTATCAACACATATATTTGCTTCTTGAAATATAGGTAATACTTTTTTGTCATAAACAGACCGTGCACGACCTTAAATTTATATCAAATATTTACAAATCGTAGACTAATAATGTATAGATGAAGGACACATCACTATTGATTACTTATCTAAATGTCAAATTCATACCGTATAATACAGACAAGATAGTATCTTTGAAAAATGATTCGTTAGATATACTGATAACATTAATCAATGTTCTTCTTTGTGATAAACTTATTTTAGAAACATGTAAACAGTAATGATTTTAAAATGCTTTAGAGAACAAGATTCAATGATTTTTCTATTTGATTCGTTTGCAATCAAATTTTCTCTAGAGTCTTCATATTTGTTCTAGTCTATTAATTGAAAATAACAAGCAAATATTACATGACATGGCAAGTCAACATTAAGATAAAGTGACTTTAATGTTAAACCAATCGTGTATGTTTCTAAGATAACATCTTGACCTCAGCAATAATAAAAAGAACACAATTATTAACATAAGATTAATTAAAGAAGATCCCCAGGAAACGAATACTTTTTTTGAAGCTTCTATTTTCTTAATCTACTAGGCATGTGCTTGTAATAATGAAATAAAATAAAATAAAATAAACTGCGACAATTCCGAGTAATGGCGCATTAAAGTGAAGCCAAATAGTAGAAAAAAATACTTTGTTCTGCACAACCTCTATTAGGGATGTGTTGATTGGTTTCATGACAATTGTGCTCATGGTAACGTACAATAAAATACACAATTTAACAATTTGAGCCCAGAGAGTATGTGTGTCTTTCACTCTTAAGAAATTTTTTAGTCGTCATTTCAACTGCAATTTTACATCTTTTTTTTTACATAAAAGAAGAAAAAAAAAATTCATTAGTATTCAAGTATCTTTGTTACCTTTGCCTGATAATGGATTAACAAAAGCTAATAAACGATGTGGTCTTTGTGTTAATGTAGATAAACATAAATTAAGATTTGTATATAATTCATTAGCTATATCCTCTGTATCCATTTCAAGTTCTAAACTTTTTATATTCCATTGCATTGAATTAGTTACATCAACATATTTAATTTTAATTGTTGTTTTATGTAATAAAATAGCTTCACTATCTGTATTTGATAATGAAGAAAAAAATCTTCGAAAACTAAATTGTCGACGTTTAAAAATAACTTGTGAATTATTTGGAGTCAATATAATACGACTCGTGTCTCCAGATTGTTCAAGTGTTGGACTACTTGAAGGACTTATACTTCTGCCTGATATTTCTAATGATGATATGGGAAGGCTATTACTAAAATTTTTATTAGATTTTTTCGGTAATGATGTTGTTTGTTGAACATTAAGTAAATGATTAAGAACGATTGTTGTTGGAGTATTATTATTGGTTTTTTTTTCATTCAATAATTCAAAACTTAATCGAGTTAATGAAGGTTGTATATGATTGATTGGAATGTTAGTAGCTGTAAAGTCTACGGAATCTGTTGCTAATTGAATATTTTCAGGCGAATCTATATTGGAATAATCATTTCTATCATCAACATATATACGTAAACGATAGAAACCATTTTTAATATAACATGTTGTTGAATATAAAATGGACGGCATTTAGGAATTATTTTTTGAGAAGAAAAAAATAATTAGTAAAAAATAATATAAGAATATCAATGTATAATTAGTAGGTAGCACAGAGAAAAATTAATAAATAATTCGCTATTTATGTACAATAGTACACAGGCCGGATAGTTTTGTCGTTTGCCACTGTTTAATCGACAACGACATTGTGTGTGATTGTGATGGCTCTACAAGAAAGAAAGAAACATTATATAAGGACGTAGATGAAAAATCATGCACTATGCATTCTTAATGTCTGTATGCATATATATATATGTATATATCGAGGGCTAGAAGCATACATCATTCATATACAGGAAAAAGGTGTTGTTATCAACCTTTCAGTTTGCGTCACAATGTTACGTATGTAATTATCTGACCCACCTTTTGTAATGCCTTTATGTTTGTCTATGCTTTGCTAATGAAAGAGATACTTATCGCCAGAAAAAAATATTTTTTTCTACACCAATCACTTTATACATTTATAATAAAATAACCTTCACATTTAAATCGAAAAGAAATACATTTATTGACATTAAAAGAAAGAACGGAATATTGCACGAGCTTTATTCGATCGATACTCTTGGTGAAGCTATTATTGAAGAAAAATAAGAAAACTAAGCAATCAATATCAAGAGACAGATGGCGTTTTGAATTTTAGTTTTTAAAAAGAAAAAAATCAAAATATTCAATAGATCAATTTTTATTTTGTTTTATTTAACATAAAAACCAAATAAATTCTTTTTTACATTGATTCAATATACTAAGCAACAGCCTCAATCAACAATGATTATGGTTGATAAGTTCACCGCTTAACATTTTTTACAGTGCAAAGAAATCGATTGACAATTTAAATATAATGGAAAAATATATGATTATATCGCCAATTGGCGAAGGTTCTTTTGCAAAAGTTTATCGTGGTCGAGAAAAATATACTGGACGAGTTTGTATTTTCAATTGTTTTATTTTATTAATTTATGAAAAAAAAAGTATTTTCTTTTTAGGATGTTGCATTAAAATTTATTTCAAAATTAGGTAAAACAGAAAAAGATTTATATTTTTTACGACGTGAAATAGATATACTTCGAAAAATGAAACATGAAAATATTGTTGATATGATCAATAGTTTTGAAACCAATAGTGAAGTAATTTAAAATGTTTATCAAATATTTAATTATGATTTCTTGTTTTGTTGAGATTGTTGTTGTTACAGAACGTGGTCTAGCTGATCTTTATCAATTATTAGAAGATGATGTCAGTTTACCAGAAGAAACGGTATTAAAAAAATGATTCTATTTCATATTTAAAAATAGTGTCGTCTTTTTTTCTTTCTTTCTAAGGTACAAAAAATTGCTTGTCAATTAGTATCAGCTCTTTATTATTTACATTCTCATCGTGTTCTTCATCGAGGTTTGTCTTTCTCTTTGTTATTTTTTATAATGGAAATTTGAATAGATATGAAGCCACAAAATATATTAATCTTTCCTGGAGGAAAAGTAAAATTATGTGATTTTGGGTGAGTTACATTGTTTTTTTCGTTTTATGTGATATTTTATAAATGAATTTATTTAGTTTTGCTCGAAATATGACTATGGAAACAATGGTGTTAACATCGATTAAAGTTTATATTGAATTTTTATCGTTTATTTTTCGTAATTTTAAAATTTTTAGGGTACTCCATTATATATGTGTCCTGAACTTGTTGATGAAAAACCATATGATCATTCAGCAGATTTATGGTAAGATCTTATTATTAAGTGACTAGAATAATTAAGGCCTTTGTGTTTCATATTTGAATTGGAACTAATTGAAATAATTATCTTTAGAATTTACTAGGAACTATTCAACGTTCTTCTGTTCTTTCCATCACTAAAATACACTAGAGCATCAGTGTCAAATAATATATACATCATTTTCTTTTAGGGCACTTGGATGTATATTATATGAAGTTTATCATGGAAAACCTCCATTTTTTACCAATAATGTTTTTCATTTAATAAAAATGATTGGAAAAGGTATTATTTTTTTTTAATTCGTTTTATATATAAAATTATTTATTCTTTTAGAATCTGTAAAATGGCCAAAACCAATAAGTCCTGATATGCGTAATTTTTTAGAAGGTCTTCTTACTAAAGATTCTACTCAACGTTTAACATGGCCAGATTTATTACATCATTCATTTGTTCGAACAGGAGTTAAAGGTAAAATAATAATCTGTATTTGTTTTTCGGAATTGCATTTAATTCTTTTTTTTTTGCTGATTAAATAGTACCACTTTTAACTGAATCAATTGTTGGTCCATTAACACAACCACCAACTGAAGAACAACGTATTTTAAAACAACAACAAATCAAAGCTAAAGGTGTTTCACGCGGTCCTTCGAAACTTCTCTCAAAATTTATGCCGGATGAACATCGAAAAGTAAACATGTTTTTCTTTTCTTTGATGTATAAATCATAATAAGTTAATTTCCAAAAAAAAACAGGATGCACAAAAATCACCTGGAAACAAAGATAAAAATCAAAAAAAGACTAAAATTCCAACTACACAAAACACTGAAATCGAACCTCTTTCTTCACCACCACCTCTATCTGTTGAACCAAAAATAAATCAATCAGCTCTTGTTGCTGATTCTTTAACAATGCAAGAAGATAAATTTGTATCTGTACGTGAAAATCTTAATACATCAACATTAACAAGTCGAACAGTTGATGAACAACAAATAGAACAACATGCTGAACAAATTGAATCAATGTCAAATGAAGAATTAATAAATTTACTTCATCAAGAATCATTTTATAAATTAGTTGAAACAATACAAACAACAATTTTATCAAAATTATTAGAATGTACATTAAATGGTGCTTCATTTTATCGTAATATGATGAAAGTAATTCGAATTATTTTACAATCTGATATGGATCCACATTTAATTATATCATTTACAAATACAATTCATATACCTGATTTATCATTAAAACATCTTAAAGCTATTTTAGATCATTCAACAATTCGAAAAGAAGTAACAACATTTTTTTTTTGTTTTTTGGTTTTTAATTTCAAGTTTTATAATTCTCTTTTTTAGCCATGGTTTGCTCATATTCTTTATGATATTTTAATAGTCATACGTCTTTGGTTTGAATTAATAACTGCTTATACACTTCAACAATTAGATGAAGAACAATGTAAATTTTATTTAACAATGTCACATGAATTTCTTGAACAAACATCAATTATATTAAATCTCGCATCATCATTAGATTATACCATATGTTGTGAAACATTAATGATATTAATTATTCTTTGTGAATCATATGAAGATGCATCACCATTACTTTGTCAAGCATGGTATGATCCAATACGTTTAGATAAATGTCAAATATGGCCAACTATTGCTCAATTAATAACAACTAGTTTTAAATCAGAAAGTAAATAAAGAACAAAAAAGAAAAGATTTTATTAGGAGATAGAGAAAGAATCTTTTGTTGTTATAGATTCAAATATAGAAATTTATAATGAAACATTAATGTATACTGTTGCTGTTATGGCTGCTCTTACTTATCCATCACAATGTTTGCCGGATGAATTACTTGAAGCAAAAATTAAAGTAATTTTATTTAAGAAATATTTAGTATAAAGATGAAATCAAATTCTTATGAATTTATTCTAATGAATAGTGATCAGATTCAACTTTTTTAGAGTTTGAATTTGAACTAGTCTCATTTCTCACAAACAGTACAGTCAGTGTTGTATTAATGATCATCTGTGTGTCATATAGAATATGATGACTAGCATTAGAAACGCTGGCTATTTCTATTACATTCAATAATATTTTCTATGATAAAATAGTTTTATTAGATACATACATCTTAGGATTGATATTTGGAAGAGCTCTGTGAGACAAACTTTTTTTCAACGTCATTCCCGTTTTATTTGCAAAATGTTTCGTATCGGAAATTTTGGAAACATTTCCAAACGTACATCATAATTTTCATTGGATGTATCATTATTAACAAAATAAACGACCTATATTATATTATAATAGAATGAATAGCAGCGGTCTAATCTAACAAGAATATTTGAGTATCATTCAGTTTTCAGATATTATTCATCCAATCTAAGCATTGCGCGATTTGTCATTAGAACAGTAAATATAGTCACTTTTAAATGGTCTTTTTTTTCTCTGTAGAATACGATAAAAAATATGTTAGCCTTGAGTCGTAAAGCAGCTACCAAAAAAGTGAAAATATTAAATTTAAAATCGAAATTGTTTTGTAGGTAGCAAATTCACTTGCATTAAAATTACTTGATCCAAATTATTCAGCATTTCGTGAAGTTTGGCTTGGTCAATTTCGTACACCGAAATGTAGTTCAAATATTCTTAAAGTATAATAAATATTATTTATTTATCAATGAGATAGAATAATTATTTTCATAATCTAGGCTATGTATGGAATGTGTTTATCAACACCACGTTTTAGTGCATTTATATTTGATGGATCATTTCTATCAAATGAACTTCTTAGTTTACTTCGTGGTCAGGTAAGAAAATAATGAATTAAAATATTTTCGATTTTATTGTCTTATTCTATTAGATAACAACAGAAGAATCTGATTTCGATGAAGCAATTGAATTATCAATTCATATTAGTACTGTTCTAATAAAACAAATCATATTACAATAGTAAAAATTATCTTAGAAATTTACTTGTTTTTTCATATTTATGATTTTATAGTGATAATAATGCACGAATTGATCTACGAAATCAACCGACAATCAAAGATGATCGTAAATTTGAAAAGTATGAACTAATAAAGTTACTTTACACACTAGTATTTTTGTACTAATTCAGATAGATCCTAACAGATTCTGATACTATACAAGAGAAATTCATTAGTCTAATAGTAGTTCTATGAACTATAATTCAGGACAGAAGATTAAAATGTTGGAGTCTTGTCGCGTAATTACTAAAAATTTTCTTATGTCTTTTTGA